CACCACATTATAATACGATATTTTATTTTACAAATACTGCCCAACTCCAGTTAGCTATTTGACCACCAGTTAGATTTATTGTCTTCCCTCTTATCCTGAACAGCCAGACTTCTTGATGTAAGAAAGCTGCTCTAAAGTCATTCACCAATTCTATGGCAGCAATCATTTTGGAAATTTATAGGATTTCTTATATAAATCACTCCATTGATAAAAAAGATTCCAAGTAAATAACTGTCTTACTTTAAATAACTTTAAATATGACTTCATATGAATAACCTGATACCATCTTTTCCATGTCTAAATAGTCCCACTGATTGTACTTAATTTTTCTCCTGCTCATCAACAGAAGATCTCATTGCAATAAAAACATTAAAGTTTAAGTGAGAACAATGTTACAAAGAAAAAGTCTCTAACCTAAAGCTTAACTGTCAGAATGGACCTATTAAATGTATGGAGTATTAATCATAATAATTTTTAGAGTTGTAATTGATTGAGTTTGTTATGAATTCATTAAGTATAGAATATGTGATAATTCCACTTGGTAATGAATTTAAGTCTACACATGGAAAAGAAGAGACTTATTGTATAATGGAAACAGGAATAAAAGGAATATGTTTATTTAGGAAAACTTTTATTGCACTCACAGAGAGAGTGCAACTCAGAACTACTTAAGTTAGTACCTGCCAGTTACAAATTATTATTCTTTAATTTATTGATTTAATTCTAATAGGCTTAATGCTCTTATGATCTAGTCCCATTCCAGCTACTCTCAAATAAGCTTTGCATTTTCTAAGAATATTAATATAAAATATTCTTGAAGTCTATCTAAAGATAAAAGACAATAGGAGGTAACTACTGTTAAGAATTTAGTAGTTAAACCAAGCTGAGAGTCTACAAAAACTGTTTAGGCTTCCTTTGGGCCAAGGGTTCCCTTGTAATCTGAGTAGGGCCTCAGTCTCTGCTACCCAGTTTTGTGGACCTAGATAGATGAAGACACAGCCTGTTCTTTTTTAGTTCCTTTCAATTTCCTTGCCCCAGCCTTGTGCACCATGTGTGCCTAAATCTTGAATATTATGGTTTGTGAACTCTGAAAAGATATCCCATYAGAAGTTCTGTATATTTGGATCATTCTTGGAGGACAACACCTTTTTGGAACAATTAAAAATTGGTATTTGGATAAGAATTATTAATATTAGCTGCTATTTCTACTCATGAAAGTCAGCTATACTCTATAAACAACAGACATTATGACCAGAATCATACTAGGGTATAGTCYAATTTAGGAAATACTCGAGTTGTCTGATGCCATTACTCTTTTTATCAAAAGACATTAATATCATATTTCTTTCTTAARAGTTGAATTATCTGAGTTTTTCAATATTTCAGAAAGGCATTTCTATGAACACTAGATATATTTAAAAGTTGCATAGGTGGAAAAAGCAGTTGGGATTACATGGAATAGTCTGCCTGGGTAAAGAGGAATGACTTGTGCATCAAACCCAAATGCATCTAAAACCTTTTCTACCTCCATCTTTCTTTACACAGATAAAGCATTAAATTTATCCAGAGGTCCAAAGTAGGAACTGCAGATTCTTTCAACTCTTTATCTTCTACCCTTAATCTGKTTAATCAAATAAGGCTTATCAAACATAATCATAAACTATTTCTTCCTTTCCAAACCTATTGCCCCAATCTTAGTAGGTTCAGAAAGTCTCTTCCTTGGTACTATAATAAACAACCTGTTGGTACAGCTGCACCCAATATCTGGAATGGGTTCTGTTCCCTTTGTTCATCTTTTAAATGTGAATCCTCTTATCTTTTCATTCTGTACTTTCTCCCTAGACAATTAATATACCCCTGTGGATTCAAGTACCATTAATAAGATGATGATCTTGCAATTTTTATCTCTAGTTTAAATCACTGTCCTAGGCTTTAAACCTGTAGGTCTATTTGCTTAACATATATTGCTGACTGGCTGTGCCACAGGGGACCTCATCTGCCCCATCTCAAACCTATYCCCTATGTTGTGGTCTCTATTTCAGAAAATAATACGCCTATTTATTCAGATTAGAGCCAGAAACCAGGATATTATCCTTAAATGCCTTTATTCCTCACCCCTACATATTTATTTCTGTTGCTCAAATCTGTTGATCTCTCTCCATATTCATGGTCACTATCTTAGTTAAGGATATTCTAAATCTTACCTGGATTGCTGTAACAGCCTCATAAATAGTCTCTCTACCTCCAGACTTATTCCTCTGGAGACTTGTCCCTCTGCAAATCTGGAGTGAATTTTTTTTCTAAAAATGAAATTATGAATGAGCCTGTCCCTRTCCTGCTTAATCCTTCAATAGCTTATTACTGCCCAAAAGATCAAGTTCCAACTCTTCAGTAACTTACAAATCCCCTTAAGGTCCCTTTTAGGTCACATCTCTAGCTATATTCCCTTCAGTTAATTAAGCTCCACTTTTCCTGATATATTTAGTCTCTCTCTTCTAAGACTTTATAATTTATTTTTCTTCTGCCTACAGTATTCTCCTCCTATTTCCATGCCTAACAATTTATCTATAGATGCCAATTTGGATTTCATTTACAATTTTGACAATACTCCCCTGACTATGCCTCTTTCAAGACAGGGTTTGGTGGTCTGATTTGCTCTAAGAGAAAACTTTACCCATTTACTATAATAATTTTCAAAATTTTTGTACTCTAATTGCCTCTTTTCTATTTCACCACACTATAAGCTTTTGAGGGAAGGGATTTATAAACACTTATATCCTAGATGTCTACCAGAAAGTTTGAATCTATTGCATATTCAGGTCACTGCCCTTCTTAGAGATTTCTGATGGCTCCTAGAGGCCTACTGAATACACTCAAGCTCTTCTCATGGCACATAAGGCCCTTTTCAATGGACTACACATAGTTTTCCAATTTCATGTCCAGGAACTTCTGTTCCTCTCCCCCCTCACTTTTTGTATGCTTTATTCTCAATACCTTGACACAAATCATTTTGATGATGCCACACTTTGGCTTAAAATGTTCCTACTTTCTAGAATGTATTCCTCTGCATGTTTTTCTGTACAAATTTTTCTAAACCACTCTTATCTCCAACTCAGACTTAATGGCTCTCTTCTTGCTCATCACAGAAATTTTCACTTTGTTACTTATTTTTGATAATGTCTTATCAATTGGAGGATAAGTTTATATGTGTCAAAGTCTTCTACAATAAGCTTCAAGAGGRTACATACTATACCTTTTAATTTTTGCCCGGTATCTGTGGTACTCCAATATTTATCAATCACACTGGATTAATAAAAACAAAGACAATGCTATTTCAAGTACTCTTAAGAATACTTTGAGAAAGAAGATAGGTAAAAGTTGAGAATGGTTTATCCTACCAAATGTGAAAATGAAAATATATAGATTTATACATCTTAACATAATCCTAGAATAAAAAAATTTGGTTTCCTTCCTGACCTCTCTTTTCTTTTAAAAGTGCCAGTTACAGAGCTTCTACTAATTCTCAAATAAAAAAAAAATCTTCTAATTTACTCCCTAACCCCAAACTATCTTTGGCAATATAAATAAGAGCATCAGGAAAAAAAAWTTTTAAACCAAAAATATTTCATCAATAACAGTCAACTGTAAACTTCAAAGGTAAACTTAACGGCACAGGTCCAGACTGCTTTGATTTAAATCCCAGCTCTACAACTTTCTGGTTTTGTTCAAATCATTTATCAATCAATCAATGCCTTGGTTTCTCCATCTGCACAGTGGGGATGAGTTTATATATGTAATACATTTAAAACCCAGTTGTAGTTACTAAGAATTAGTTATTATTATTATTATTATTATTATTATTATCTTAAATGGTGGCTGTTCATTTAATAATCAAAAGTTACAATCTGTTTCTAGATTTTAAGAAAGGTGCCCCTAGACAGAATGTGAGCTTTAAAAAGACATAAAGATTTTAGACTATTTGGGTATTAGTATAGAGCAGCTGAGCAAATAAGCATGTCTTAAAATACCAGAGTTGGTTCTAGGTTCTAATTAAGATCTTTTAATTCAATTGATTTATTTCCCAAAATTATTTATAATTTTATTTCTCCATGTTCATAATTGTAAGCACCCTATAATGATGGTATGGATTAAGTAACAAATGATTAAAAAGGACTTTGAAAATAGAAAAACTGAATTGATGAACTTATAGGTACCTAATGTAATTAACAATATAGCATACTATATTAATTCCTATAACACCTTCCAGTTCTAGCTCTCAACTCCTAAATTCTTAATTTTTTCAAAAGGTATTATAAATTTATGTATAAAAATACAAATTTAAAAATCTGTATTAGTTTGCATTAGGATATTATCAAACTTAAGATGTGGATACCATAAAATTAAAAAGTGATGTATTATAGTTATAAAATCATTATAATCATTCCTAAAATAAGTGGTCTTACTGAAATTAAAAAATACTAACATATATTTGAAAATCTCATTTTAAAATGTTAAGTAATTATATTAATAAAAATTCCAGCTTAAAGCCACCAAAATGATCCAAAAAATATTTTGATATAGCCTATAATTCTTGTTAGATAGATTAGGATTTAGCTATAGTGTGATAGCACAGCCAAATCTTGATTATCTCTAGTCTGTGGCAATATGGGTAGCTTGGATAGTTAAAAATCCATCTCTTCCCAGAATATTATCTTCAGTCTCTCCCACAAAGTATTTACCATAGTTAATGGCTTATTTGCATTTAAACTCCTTTTCCTTCTTAACTGAACAATGAAATTGCTTAATTAATTAATTAACAACAAATAAAGCATAGGAARGAAAGACAATATAATAGCCAGACTGAACAATCAAGAGTTGGCTGCACAGTAYTACATTTACTTTAAGAATTAAAATAGCCTCATCCTACTTCATTATCTTTAAATGAAATCAAACAGGAGTTCCTATGCCTTAACATTCCTAGTCAGAGTTTCTCTGAGTACCTGAAAGAACCCTGGTGGTACAGGACCTACTGGCATGCCATCTCCTGGGGGAATGTTTCCTAGCACTGGACTGGGAGCTGCTGCAGCACTCTGCAAAGAATAAAGGAGAAACAAACCTATATCATTACAGAGAAGGCACAAAACCAAAGACTAATGATAATCGATTATAGGAAGGGATAGTTTTTCATTCCTGGGAACAAACATTGGTAATTTTCTGCATTCTGGAAGAATACTAAGATACAACATAGTTTAGTAAATGACCAMGTTGGTTGATTTTAACAGGTATCTTTAAACTTTGTGAGGTTAAAGAAATTTAATAAGATGATATATTTGAATAACATATTAAATGCCAATGGTACTATGACAAAATGATAAAGGTTTAAGTAAATGCTTTAGGGCACAAACATCTGAAATGGCAACCTCAATAAAGAATAGTAAATATTTAGGTAAAAAGTTTGAAGACTGTGCTTGTAGGAGTTGGTAAACAGAAATCTAATTTTTTTACAATATACTTTCCTATATTATAAACTAGTATAATTCATATTCTGTCTATAGATGGCATAACATTCACTTTCTGATATATTATAAATGATAGTCAAAATATAACTATGGATTGGTAGGGATGAAAATGTAAGTATRACATTGAGAAAAAGAAAGAAATTAAGATTTGGAGAGATTAGTCTCAAATTATGAAAAACATCAGATTATAAAAYGAAGTAGACTTTGAATTTTTCAAACTCTTTCATGGAATTCTAGCATATCATGAAATAAAACCTATGATTCAGACTTTGTAATCAATCAAGGTTATAGATTTAATGCTTAGATACAGAAGTTATATATACAACTGTTCTACAACTATTAATTTCATCACTCAACCTCTTTAGACATATTACAAGACATATTACAAATCAAGAAAGGACCAGATAGAAATGTAAATTAGTACAAACATATGGACAACAGTATGAAGAGTCCCCCCCAAATTAAAAATAGAATATTGTATAATCGGCTATCTTTCTATTGAGTTTATATCCAAAGGAAAAGAAATTAGAATGTTGAAGAGACATCTGCACTACTATGTTTATTGCAGCACAATTCACAATAGCCAAAATATGGAGTAAGCCTAAACGCCCATAATTGGTTGAAGGAATARAGAAAATGTGGAACATATACACAATGGCATATTATTCAGCCATAAAAAAGATGATAGTCTATCATTTGCTAAAACACAAATGCCCAGAGAACATTATTATGTTAAGTAAAATTAGCCAGGCAGAGAGACAAATACTGCATATTTTGACTCTTATGTGAAATACAAAAATTTGGTCTCATACAAGTTGAAAGTAGAATGGTCATTACCAGAGGCTAAGAATAATAAGAGGAGAGGCTGGTCAATATTGCTGTTAGTACTAAAAGCTAGACATAAAGTGTAATTATTGTTCTAATTAAATGCAGAATAGAAAATTATTTCAGAATAAAAAGACATGTAAAAACATGACAAATGTGGAAATCACAATGTTACTCAAAATATGTGTGTGTGTATTTAGTTGCAGATAGACACAATACCTTTATTTTATTTATTTGTTTTATGTGGTGCTAATGATCAAACCCAATGCCCCACACATGCTAGGCAAGCACTCCACGACTAGGCTACCACAGCCCACGGTGTTACTCTGAAGAAAAAAGTTCTGGTGTTGTGTCATATGACAGGGTGACTTTAGTTAACATAATGCCACAAAGGGACAAAAATAGAAGACCGACCAGTTTGAATTTAACAGTTTTGCTATGAAATCAAAACAAGAACTGCCTCTAGTATACACTGCACTATCCTCATCTATATCAGTGCATTTATTCATACATTCATAGTCCATTGGAAAAATCTCAGTATATTTATAGAACATATTTCCTGGTATATTAATTGAAAAAAATGTTAAACATGTTTGTTCTATAGTACTGACAGTTGTTAATAATTAAGGCCAATGATTTTAGTATTTCCCAAGAAAGTCTAAATTTAAATGTGGTTCTCTGAAATGTTGCTTACCTATGAATGTAAAATTTTTAACTTCTAATAAAGCAAAATATAGTAAATGAGTATAAAAGGAGAAATAATATTTCTTTTATATTAAGATGAAGCATTAATATGTTACTTTAAGAAAAACATGCAATTTCATTTAGTATACATTAACTGAATACCTACCATTGCAAGTCATTGTTCTATTGTGCTTTATAGAGTAACACTCATGGTTTTAAAAAATGAAAGGCAGAGTGTTATTTTCATTTTAACTAAACTTGTGTAAAATATTAATACATAGAATTAGAGTAAAGGAAAAAAATCACAATCAAGCACTTTTGGTTTAAATATGTATGAATACATCCAGATCTGGGAAGTAATATTTGATCTATATTTTTAAGGGTGCCAATTATTGCAATGTGGAAATTGTTCTTAGTACTAAAAGCCAGACATAAGGTGTCATTGTTGTTCCAATTAAATGCAGAATAGAAAATTGTTTCACAATAAAAAGACATGTGAAAATGACAAGTTTAGAAGTCACTCTAGCCTATACTTTCATAGAATGTRTATTATAACATTGAGCATGTTTATCAAATAACAAAATAGAATTAACTGAATTACTGTGACTTCTTGTGTAGTTCTCCATTCTACTTGCCTCAAAAGTATATAAAGGAAGTTCCTGTTTATCCAAAGGGAAAAAAGATTCATTTGCATAAACCAAAATTCAATAGGTAAAGAAACTGGTAAGAAATAGGCAAAATTCACAGTTAAATATTTGCCTATTAACTTTTTTTTTTGGGGGGGGGGCAGACTACTTTGTTTGAAGGAATACAGTATGCCAGCTTTTAATCTTTTAAGTCTTCTTTGTATCTTTATTTTCTTGCCTTCATTTAAAAGTGAAAAGAAAAGATTCAGATGACTATTTCAGCAAGTCTTTAAAATTCCTTCTGAATTTTCATTTATGCTTTTAAAGCTATTTAATAAATTCAACCAAAATATTTGCTTTCTTCTCTATGTATAGTCAAGGACTCTTTTGAACTCTTTAATATAGCAGTTAGCACTACATGGGGAAAATATCCTTTCCCTCCTAAAGTTAATATTCTAGTAAGGGAGAAAAACAATAAGTAAAACAAAACCCAAAATATATTTATACATGTTCTAATGGGGGGTGGAGGGAAAAGCAGAGAAGAGAMAATTCTTGGTAAATAGTATAAGGATTACAGTTTTGAAAAGGACAGTCAAGGAATGAATGCATCAAACTAAAGGACCAGGATGAAGCAACTATTAACTAATTTAAATATGTCTCTTGCTCTGTTGTTGAGATCTCTCCGTATTTAGAGATGAACAAAATTCTTGCAGTTTGTATTTATTCTCTCACCCTGGCATAATAATTTTGTGAAGTTTCTTCTTTTTTAATATTCATTCTTTCGTCACAATAATTAAGTTGATAGCTAGATTATTAACAGTGTACAGTATGATGAGTTAGTTATCTCATATAATAGTAAATTTCTAGCCTTGGCTCAAGGACACAATGTGAAATTAACAGAATACTAGTAATAGCCAGTATGCACAGTACAATGTTCAGATCATTTTGGTCCAAATTTCTCTGTGGACCAGTTTTGAGCTAACCTATCCATTTACTCTCTGGTATTTATTTACAAGGGATACCTCCTCCCTTTATTCTATTATGAGGACTCAGCTTAGAGTAACATTTGGTTCACCAAGTTTATCATTAACAAAAGCTATACTGAAGAATATCATAGAAGGAAATTACTAGACATTGTCAAAGAGTAGATTTCTCAAATTGCTTTACTTGCTAATTTATATACAGTGACTATAGATTTAATACATCCTTTGATACTGTAGATAAGAAACAATCTTTTAGGAYTAGGGCCTATGTAGAAGGAAAAAGTTCCAAATTTCATGGGTTTCACTGCTGGAATTTCTGAGATTTGTCTCAAGTTTTACTTATAACATGAGAAAAATTTATCCATGATCTAAGGATTCACAGAGAGTTGTTGGGCCTAACTGATACAGCATGTATTCTTCTGTGGTGTGATAACAGAATCACAACAGAATAGCAAATGGTTTAATTATATTAAGAACTACTATAAAGTATTAGTTTGACTAGATTTCTATGAATTCCCATTAGCATACCATAGAAAAATCTATGATTATGTAATCTATTCATAATTAGTTAGGGTTGACTTTTGATGGTAGCTCACTCTTTTAAATGAAAAACATACAAATAACATGCTTTTAAATATTTCTTTTAACTAAACAACATGTGACACTTGGGTGCTGATATAAAACTATTAATTATCATTAATAGTTTCTCATCTCCGCTATTGGATTAACTTATTTGTATGCTTTTAATCTGCATTTTCAAATGTATCTTTTCTAATACACATTTTCTTAAACCATTTGCTTTGCCATATGACTCTGTTAGGAAAAAATTTTTGTATATAATTTTATATGGGAGTTTCAAAGGAATAGGCATAAAATGAAYATTTGTTTAAAATAAAATTAGTATGGACTTTATCATTAAACATAATTAGCTAGCATTTAAGAGCCTGTACATTCAATAACTAGGAGACTGATTTACTAAGAACACTAGAGAACCAATTGGCTAATTATWCAGTGGAGAATCGAGACATAAATTTTATATTTGGTGGAATAGAAAAATTATTCTTGGGAATATATAAAATTGTGAAATAATGAAACCAAAAAGWGTGATATCATTATTAGCAATTGGATAAGAGATTAAAGGGAGGGGTGAGTAGGAATAGATTGGAAAGGGGATTATTGATTATCATTTTTAAGCCATCTCTACAGTTTTTAAACTGCTAAAATTTGAATATGTTCCCTTCCAAAATTCAGGTGCCCAGTGTGACTGAATTAAGAGGTAGCACTTTTAAGAGATGATTAGACCATTAAGGGTCCTCCCTTGTGAATGGAACTAGGTACCTTTATAACAGGGGTGTTCATGAAGTGAATTCATTCTTTATTGCTCCTCCACCTTTTCCAWGTGAGCATGCATTAAGAAGGCCCTCACCAAACACCAGATGACAGTGCCTTGATC